GCCTGGCAGGAAGCTGCGGCGCCCGGAAGAGCCCGCGCCGCCGCCGCCGCCGCCGCCACCGCCACCAACACGTTGCACCGAGTCATTCGACGGGCCGCGGCCCCACGTGGGCGGGGCAGGCCACCGGGCCTTGGGACCCCGTGGAGGAGTTACAACTGCCAGGACTGCCCATGTGCAGGCGCAGTGGCACATCCGCGGGTTACGCTTTTCACCTGTCGTGTTTGTTTCATTTAATTTCATGCCCCCTTTGGAGACAGGTATTCTGGAATCCTCATCCGATAGTTGATTTGGCACCCAGAGAACCAGCTCACAGCAATCCAGATTGTGTCAGACTAAGACTAAGGGACCTGAAGGCAAACCCCCATTTTACAGGTCGGAAACTGAAGCCTCAGAGCGCTGCATATATGTCAGTGACTCCCCCAGTCCCCTATTTCTCTCAAAAGGACTTTCTCATCTCATGGCTTCAAAGTTTTCAGGCACGTTGAGCCTCTCCTTATGAACTGGATTAGGATGTGAATTGCTGCATTCATATTTTTGCTGTGGAACCAGCAGTTGGTGTGATTAACGCCCCCCTGCCAGGCTGGTTTCAGACTCCAGGGAGTTATATGCTTGCTGCTTCTGGTTTGTAAGCTAAATGATGCTCGGGGAGAGAAAGACAACTAAGGAAACTCTAGTGGGAGTCCCTTCCTGGAGCACTAGGGGCCACTCCCAAGGCATCAGGGTTCCCCTTTTACCCTGAGGATGGATCCTGGCAGGAAGGTCTTCAGTGATGGGTAAACAACTAAACATGCATAACTAGGACCTAGTGACCTTGAACAGCTCACTTCTGGTCCGCTAGAGAAAGAGACAGATAAATATAGTATATTCATTGTCTATTGCTGCATGACAAATTACCACCAAAACTTACCAGCTTAAAACAGCACTCAATTATTATCTCACAGTATGTGGATCAGGCAACTGAGCACAGCTTAGTTGGGTGCTCTCTACCAGGGTCTCTCACAAGGGTGCAAACCACAGTACCAGCTGGGGCTGGGGTCTCTTCCGAAGGCTCAGTTGGGGAAGGATCAGCTTCTAAGCTCAAATAGCATTTGTTAGCCAGGTTCAGCTCTTCATGAGCTGCTGGAATGGATCCTCAGTTCTCTGTGGGCTCTTGGCCAGAGGCCACCCTCAGTTCCTTGGAATGTAGACCTTTCCAACATAATTTGCTTCATCAAAGTGTGTAATCTACGATAGCAATAGTCTATAGCAAGACAGAAGTCACTGTCTCAAGAAACCTAATCACAGAAGTGCCATCCCACACCTTTCCATATTCTACTGGTTAGAAGCAAGTCACAGGTCTCAGCCACATTCAAGGAGAGGGAATTACACAACGATGTGAATAACAGGAAGCAGAGATCATTGGGCCCTCTTAGATACTGCCTGCCACATACAGTGTAATACATTTTGATTTGGGGAATGAACAACAATCAGATTATCAGAAGCCATCACCGCCGGGCTTGGTGGCTCAGCCTGTAATCCCGTGCCTTGGGAGGCTGAGGTGAGTGGATTGCCTGAGCCCGCGGGTTCGAGGTGAGTGGATTGCCTGAGTCCCGCCTGGGCAACTTGGCGAGACCTCATCTCTACAATAAATTAAAAAAATCAGCCGGGCATGGTAACGTGTGCCTGTAATTCCGGCTACTTGGAAGGCTGAGGCGGA